ATGTAGATTTAAAAGTGCATAAGCTCCAATGGCTACCTAATATCGGTCATTGCCCATAAAAAAATCTGGTGGTTCACCAGCATTATTGATTCAAGCAAGCCTCACTGCTGATGAGACACTCTGTGTCGAAACCAGACCAGAGATTGCGTTTTACGTAAATGCTGCAGGAATTATTCACTCCCAGAAGGCCGTGCGACTGATGTGTGTTGTGTCAGAAATACTTTTATATTTTTGTTTATGTGGAAAGATGAATACGTGAAGGAGACATTTATCCGCTTATCCTCTCCACAACGTCACCGATGATTTATTTTCAGTTATATACTATCCTAATTATATATACTATATATAATGTATAGTTATATAACATCAGTACTTAATTGTAATATATAGTATAATTATATACTATTCTAATTATATATAATTTTCAGTTATATACTATACTTTAGTATATTCAATGTGCTGGAAAGATGACACTAATCTCAGAGATAATTCAGAGATGGCTATAGATGGTACGGGAGAACAATAGACATGAATACATATACAGCGCTGTATATAAATGAGATGGTTCAGGAGAGCTGTAGCCCTGGACCAAATCGCCCGCAATGTGCCCACAGATCTCAGAAGCTAAGCGGGTTCAAGCCTGGATAGCGCTCGGATGGGTAACCACCATGCGCGAAGGACAGGCGTTATTGGCAGTCGAGGGCAGTGCAGCAAATTGCCATTTTGTTCTGTACTTCGTTTCACTAACCTGCACCGCCCAGCGTGGTGAAGCATGGTCAAACATCCTCTCAAGGTGGTGTGGAGAAGTCCTCATCCAACCGGCGGATTAACAAACGTGCTGTGCATGTACCTAGCCTAGTGTGCAGTCGATTAAGCAGGCTCACAATTATGGTTGTCACCTTCCCAAAGTACAAAAAACGGGGCATATCTTGGATAGAAGAAGGGAGCACTTCATGTACTCCAAATGCATATTCTTGAGTGGGGTATACCACACTATTATTATACTATTATTATGCAACCGACTTTTAATATCCAAGGAAAGTCTTACAGATTTCCCAAGATTGTCTATCTCAACATGAGGACAATCCTGGGAAACCAGGATGGGTGGCAATCCCACTGCGTCGTCAAGAGTGCGCATGACACCAGATCCTCTTGAACTGTTGTAGCCCCAGCTCTCGATGGACCCGCCGCACCACACTGTTTAATATTTTCCTGACTGTTTTTCACAACAAGCCCCAGGGCTCGGGTGAAACCCTAGCCAGTGCCACCCATTAGGGCCCAATAACCCAACAGAGAGAGAGCGAGCTGTTGCCAGCGGGGGGTCAGGAGTGCGTTGGGTTATATCAGACCCAAAATGCTGGAGGTCCAAAATGTGGTCTTGGCTTAGAGCCCAGGATGACCCTAATCTGGGCCTGAGATTCAGCCTGCACAACACGAACAACTTGTTACACAATGCAGTTATCCAAAGACGGGGCGATTGCACCACTGTTGGGCTGTGGGAGATGGCTTTAAAAAAAGTATTCAAGGAACTCCAGCAGATTACAATTGATTTCTTTTCATGCCAGAAGAATGCCAAAGCATAGCATTTTTAGCACTCCGTAAGCGGTAGCACTCCCAACACTTTGTGAATTAAATAGACATGGCACGTGTTACGCAATAGCAAGCAACGACTAAAGATGCTCCCCCCCCCACCCCTGCTCTGTGTAGCCTACACAGACTGTTGGGGCAAGTGCTGCAAGTGAACCACCAATTAAGGGTGGCACAGGCGCACGCTCGGTCACCTTTCGAGTTTCTCCGGTGTTGATGTTCCCACCGCATGCACCTGCGGCATGTTCGGAACGTGGTCCCGATGATCACTCCGGTGCTGGATTTTTGTAGCGCACGCACACACACATACACACGAATTTATGTAGGCGCTTGCGGTTGTTAAAAATCGCTCTTTTATTTTGCATTACCTGTTAGACCAGGGGTCGGCAACCTGCGGCTCCTTAAGGACTGCTTCATGACGTTATTTATTAAGGACCACCGTCTCGTATTCACCACAGTGCATTGCGGCTCTTGAAATATTGAGGGTTTTTTTTACAATTGTTTTTTGCTATTTTGGTTGCTGACCGCAGCGAAACGGTTACCAGTTTTTGCCGCACATAGGAATGTTGGGGAATGAACGTAACAACGTAGCACGTTTACCTCCTCAGCTGAGAGATGGAGAGCTGTCACAGTCTAATGGTAAGCACCCTGGCCTCTGTCCACCCGACAGTGTAGACGGAGATCATGCAGTCGATCGTGGCGGGGTTAAGTGCGGGGGTACTCCCACCTCTGCCAAGACACGTCTGTTCAGCTTGGAAGAGTAGACCAAATACCCCCCTTCCCCACAGCTAGCTACATTGGAGGCACGGCCCACCAGCAGTGTTCTAGCGATTGCAGGACTGCTCTACTTTACCTTTTAACGGAGATAAAGATTGTGAATGAATTGGACTTATCCCACCATGGCGCATGCCAATCAAGTGCCTTCATTACTAACTTTCCAACGGAAATGGTTACCGATTCTCGAAACCTTACCGGTTTACCGGTTCTCCTTTAACAACCCTCGTCAGCACAAACAAATGCAAAGATCCCCCGTATAGTCTTGACAGACTTGGGGCAAGTGGTGCTAGCAAGCCTATTAAGGCCCGTACGGCACACGAGGGGGTGGTGGTCAACACCACGCCCGGCCACCTTTGTCTCCCTGGCGGTAATGTTTTCACACCACACCAGGTACTTATTTGAGGCTGAGTCGACCTAGGGAAGGCCCAGGACCAGTTCGGATAATCGTCACTGGTGTTGGCTCTGAGTGGGAATCGAACCCAGGTTGCTGGGTTTGTAGTGCAGCACGCTAATCGCTACACTACCGACACACACACCGACAATTGGCACGCCTTGGTGCTTGCTGCAGCCCAAAGCTGCGCAATCTCTGGTTTGCTAATACGAAAGTGGCCCACTGTACCATACCCACATGCATTCCATCCTCCATGGATTCCCGGTTAACATAATCCTCATCAAGACGGATTCGAACAGTTTAAGTAAAGTACATGGCAGTGTTTATAGCAGGGGCCTCATAACGAGGTGGCGCTGGCTTTTGAGAATGTTGCGTGGTTATTTTTGTCTCAATACTAAATTGCCCTGCTTGTTGCAGGTCAAGATAATCAGTGGGATTCGTGATAGTTAATTCAATATTAGCTACGATAGACCATAACCTATAAACATCCCTCCTTTACAGCCATATTCCCTAAAAACTAAATTTAAACTCTTAACTCGTAAATCATGTACCCTAACCTTAAACCAACAATCTAAATCCCGAAACCACAATCCTAACTCCTTTATCCCAAAGATCTGACACCTTAACCCAAAACGAAAACTAAAGATGTGACCTCCCTTATTGCATCAACTGAAACCAGAAGAAGAGCTGCGTGTGATTGGACAAAAAAAATCTGTTCTTAATGTTCGTGCAGTACAGTATATATATGAAACAAAAAAATACGCCAAGACGGTAGCGTGCCACAGAGTTTATTTCTGCAAAGTAGAAATGTTTTATCTTTTTTTAATATCGTTGTACGCAGAGCGAAACGAGAGAGAGAGCGAAATAAAGGTACAAAAAAAAGTAGGAAAAAATATATACAAAAACACAACGTAAAATTGGGGGGGGGAGGGTGGTTATGGGGGGGGGGGGTTGGGGGGGGTTGGCAAGATGTCTGAGACCGAGGGTAAAGAGCACAAACGCTGTACTTGGTGTTCTTTGTGCATCAAAGGCCCCCCCCCCCCCCCCCCCCCCCCCCGAGGGGCTTGAACGCGTCGCGTCGGCGCGCCGTCTAAACAACACCGATCAGGCCCTAGGCACAATGGCGGCGGCACGTTGTGGCCAAAGTTAACAGGGCCCAATTTCAAAGGAGCACCGGCGTTCTTCGTGATGCCCGTGTCGTGGTAGCCGCGTGCGCTGGCACTGGGGCCTGCAGTGGTCGGCTGTACACGCGCGCGTTTCGTTGTTGTTGTTGTGGGTGAGTCCTCAGTGCGGTGTGTAAGACGTCGACGCTGGGGGAATCCATGGGCGGCCGAACGTGGCGCTAACCACGCTGCTCACTCGTGTACTGTGTCGGCCTTCATAGCTGCTGCTCGCTAACAGGACTTGCCCCAAATGTCTGTTAAGGCTACACGGGGGATCTTTGTCTTTGTGTGTGCTGAGGCCACGGGCTACCGCTTGTGGGGACCGGTAGGGTAGTCGTTAGCGCGCTGTGCTACGAACCTGGCGAGCCGAGTTCTATTCCCGCTCACGGCCAACAGCAGTGACGATTATCTTAACTGGTTCTGGTCGACTGGTGCAGTGTGTAAACATCGCCCACTCGGGAGACAAAGGCGGCCAGGTGTGGTAGTGGGCCCATCCACCCCCTTGTGTGCCGTGCTGGCCTTCATAGGTGCTCGCAAACAGCACTTGCCCTAACAGTCTGTTGAGGCTATACGGGGTATCTTTGTATTTGTGTGTTGAGGGATAAGAGGACGAGAGATGACATGGGCTGATGTGGTGCGGGAAGATATGGGACTGATTAGACTTGTCCGATGACTGGTACCAGCGGTGTCAACAGCGACCTCTGTGTGGGAGGCTCGTCAAGGATGCTACTGGGCAGTGCCAGGCTAGGTTCACTTTGAGGCGACAGGGAAGTTGGAGGCAGTTGCCATCCAACAACAAGAGGTCGGAGGAGCGAAGTTCACACCGGCCGGACAAAAACGCAGCAAGCCGGTACAGCGCGCGTTTATTTAGTTGCCATTCCCCTGCACCTGTGATTAGCATGGTTGGCTACGTACGGTGCCAAATAAGTTCAACATACACACACACACACAGTTACGTACATGGAACCAGAGCGCACGTAGCCCGGCGCACGCGCCCCGCGATGACGTTGCTGCCGCTCGGCGGGCCGGGGACGGCGGTTGTCGGTGCGCGCCGTTGACACGTGGCTCTTGCCGTCGCACAGGGCCATGTCGGAGCTGCCCTGCACGTCGGTGCAGAACACGGTGGTGAGCACGTCGGCCTTCCTCACCGAGGAGGAGGAGGAGGATGACAACGCGCCGCGCATCTGCGGGGTGTGCGGCGACCGGGCCACGGGCTACCATTTCAACGCCATGACCTGCGAGGGATGCAAGGGCTTCTTTCGGTAGTCCTCACCCCGCGACGACCCAATTCTGCCACTCACCGCAGACCTCTCGGCAACCCCCCCCACCTCCCCCCCTCCGTGTGCTCTTGGCTGAATGTTCACACATGGCCACCCCCTTTTTCTGTTTGACCCTTTCACTTTTTGGTGTCTTTTACGTGTTTGTTGTTGTTGCTGCTGCTGCTGCTGTTGTTGTTGTTGTTGAGGGGAGTAGGGCTGTTTGGTGGTATTATGGTGGATAGAGTACTGATAGTGTTTCCGTGACCAAGTCGCCCCGAATGTTTGCCTGATCTCATCAGTTCTCAGAAGCTAAGCGGGTGGGGTTGAGCCGGGTGACCCGCCGCGCCTTAAAGCACAATGCGTGTTACAATAATGGGCATTGGCGGCAACGCAGCAGAATCCGTTGTTGTTTTCTACTACCCGACCTTTAACCTGCGCCGGCCAGCACGGTAAAAGTATTATAATAAAAAAATATCCCAAGGTGTGGGGAGGCCCTCGATCCTGCGGGGCATTGACAAGCGCACTTTTCGTGTACACGCACGCGTGCTCCAAATGCGCGTTCTGAGAGGTTTGTTTTGTTACGGTGCAATATGTACAGTGAGGGAAAAAAGTATTTGATCCCCTGCTGATTTAGTACGTTTTCCCACTGACAAAGAAATGATTAGTCTATAATTTTAATGGTAGGTTTATTTGAACATTGAGAGACAGAATAACAACAACAAAATCCAGAAAAACGCATGTCAAAAATGTTATAAATTGATTTGCATTTTAAGGGGGGAAATAAGTATTTGACCCCTCTGCAAAACATGACTTAGTACTTGGTGGCAAAACCCTTGTTGGCAATCACAGAGGTCAGACGTTTCTTGTAGTTGGCCACCAGGTTTGCACACATCTCAGAAGGGATTTTGTCCCACTCCTCTTTGCAGATCTTCTCCAAGTCATTAAGGTTTCGAGGCTGACGTTTGGCAACTCGAACCTTCAGCTCCTTCCACAGATTTTCTATTGGATTAAGGTCTGGAGACTGGCTAGGCCACTCCAGGACCTTAATGTGCTTCTTCTTGAGCCACTCCTTTGTTGCCTTGGCCGTGTGTTTTGGGTCACCTCCATGTTTGACGGTGGGGATGGTGTTCTTGGGGTCATAGGCAGCATTCCTCCTCCTTCAAACACGGCGAGTTGAGTTGATGCCAAAGAGCTCCATTTTGGTCTCATCTGATCACAACACTTTCACCCAGTTGTCCTCTGAATCATTCAGATGTTCTTTGGCAAACTTCAGACGGGCATGTATATGTGCTTTCTTGAGCAGGGGAACCTTGCGGGCGCTGCAGGATTTTAGTCCTTCACGGCGTAGTGTGTTACCAATTGTTTTCTTGGTGACTATGGTCCCAGCTGCCTTGAGATCATTGACAAGATCCTCCCGTGTAGTTCTGGGCTGATTCCTCACCGTTCTCATGATCATTGCAACTTCACGAGGTGAGATCTTGCATGGAGCCCCAGGCCGAGGGAGATTGACAGATCTTTTGTGTTTCTTCCATTTGCGAATAATCGCACCAACTGTTGTCACCTTCTCACCAAGCTGCTTGGCAATGGTTTCATAGCCCATTCCAGCCTTGTGTAGATCTACAATCTTGTCCCTGACATCCTTGGAGAGTTCTTTGGTCTTGGCCATGGTGGAGAGTTTGGAATCTGATTGATTGATTGCTTTTGTGGACAGGTGTCTTTTATACAGGTAACAAACTGAGAATAGGAGCACTCCCTTTAAGAGTGTGCTTCTAATCTCAGCTCGTTACCTGTATAAAAGACACATGGGAGCCAGAAATCTTTCTGATTGAGAGGGGGTCAAATACTTATTTCCCTCATTAAAATGCAAATTAATTTATAACATTTTTGACATGCGTTTTTCTGGATTTTGTTGTTGTTATTCTGTCTCTCACTGTTCAAACAAACCTACCATTAAAATTATAGACTGATCATTTCTTTGTCAGTGGGCAAACGTACAAAATCAGCAGGGGGTCAAATACTCTTTTCCCTCACTGTACGTTGAACCTCCTTGGGTACCGTACGTAGCCAACCGTGCTAATCGGAGGTAATGCAGGTTGTCGTTGGTCGTGTGACCGCTGCTGTTTGGGATTCCGAGAAAGGCAATTGAAAATCTGCTTTTGGGCATTTGTTTGCTAGAGGCTGTGTCACGGCACTTTTTTGCCTTTCTCACTGTGGCCGCGCGTGTAGTGAACCCTGTGCATCGCCGTTCACGTCCTTGGGCAGCTTATCTCAACTGTTGATATGAACGCTTTTGCCACAAATAGCGTAAACTTCATCAAAACAAATACAGGCGCACGGTAAAAACAAGCAACAAAGAATTGCTGTGATATTATTTCAATGCACTTGTTTATCCAGGAAGCCTGAGTCTTATGACTGCTTCAGGAGGGTCTTGTCAAGTTTCTGCAGAATGGTGTGATGTTACTGTGTATAATCCCAATTGAGTGATTAGCATTTTTGTTGTTGCATTTAAACAGTTCAACTGTTTTTTTTAATCTATGAGAGGAATCCAGAGATCCTGGCAGAAACCCATACAGAACAGGGGGAGAACATACAAACTCAAACTCCGTACAAAAGGCACCCAAGTCGGGAATTAAATCCGAGGGCCCTTCTTACTGAGAGGCAGAAATGATACCACTGCGCGACCCTGCCGCTCTAGAATCAGACCAAGTCAAAACTGACACGTGTGGTGGCTATAATCTGCAATCAGAAAACATGAGCCGCTTCTGAAATCATGCACAAATGTACGATGGTGCAGTGTTATTTTTCCCAGCCGATGACATGCACATTCCCTCCTTTAATCTCTGATCGTTGTAATCGGACAAATCAAACGTGATGTACACCTGGCAGTGGAGATTATAGACTGCAATCGGAGAACAGTGGCTACTTGTTAAGCTATGCACAAACGTACGCCGGTGGAGTTTTACAGACGCAAATAGGTAAACGGATTTGGCACACAGCCCTTCATTACTTAAGCATCTTCAAGCAACATAAAACTTCCGGGCCTTTGGTAGGGTTTCGTTTTATCTGACACTTTTCACTTACGTTGTTGCCAATTTGTTTTTGCCAGGCCTTCTGACCCTCCGTGCATATTGTGTACAGGCCTGGCTCCAGCTCCTCTCGGATGGTGTGGGGTGGGGGGTGGGCGTGGACAGTATTCCTGTTGTGTGGGGGGCAACCACAAGGAAACTGAACTCTGGTGCTGCAAAGGGACATTTGGTGGGGCAGAGCCCACCCCAGCACCCCCTACGCTCGTTGGATGACTCAAGCCTTAGCTGCCAGTAACTACGTATTGGGACACGGACGGTCTGACTCCCCTCGTGATTATAGTGACCGCATCGACAAGACGTGGAGATCCAACTCTTGAATCAAATGGTGTTTTTCTTTCACCTAGTCATTAAGAGATTGTTGATTTCCCTAATGATTTTATGAGATTTATTTGAGTAATGGATCACTCTGAATGACTATCAATTTGAATACTCAATCGGATAATAGTTGCGGGGAGGGGTGGTGGTGCGGGGAGGAAAATGTCACCTCTGTTGCCACGTGTGCCATTGCTGGAGCAGAGCTGTGGCTTAGTGGGGTGCCACGGTGGCAAGATGTTAATTACCTCGCCCGCTATACAGGAGGTCTTGGGTTCGATCTCGACCCTGACGCCTGCATATTTGGAGTGTGTATGTTCTCCCCGGGGTCGCGTGAATTTTTCCCCAGGTCCTCCGATTGTTATATGCACGTTTAGAAACATAAGTTTAGAGTTTTTGGCTGCTATCAACTTCCACATGATAAGCCACTTCGTTAAGCTGTCATTTGTGGCCAAGTTGCTTCTGAAAAAGAGCTATATAGCTCAGTGGGTCTTAGCTGTTAAAAAATTATGCATGGGTGTGGTCTAGTGATGTCATTGGCATAATTGGTGTTACGCTGGCAGTGGCTTGGAGAGGTTTTCCATCTTTCGGAAGGCTGGATGTGGTGGCAGCTGCCATTTTTTTAAAGGGGCCCGACCACAACAAAATATGGAGTTCATCACAATGTACCTAAATCTCTGCTGAGATGGCCCATGTGTACATCATTGTTATTATACCATATATATTGTTACAATCCTTTAATTTCGGCACACAACTATTGAATTGGAAGCAAAAGTGGAAAGGTTGTGCGTCTTGGATTTCGTTCTCAAAAAGCTTTCATAGCCGCTTGTACGCTCGTGCGCGTGTCTGCGCATTATGAGTTTGCATAGGCTTGCCCAAAACTATTTCTGTGTTTGAGGGACTGACTTTGCCTTGGCGTAACAAGAAACTGGCAAAATGCTACACTCTACGTTGGTGACTGTAATTCGGGGTTTAGTTTAGTATGTTCCAGGTCATGTTCGGTGACACAGAGCAACTTGATATCTCGCTCACTTAAACTAGTAAACTTTTTTATTATACGAGGTAAGGCCGACTGAGCTATATAGCTCTTTTTCAGAAGCGACTTGGTCACAAATAATCGCTCAATGAAGTGGCTTATCATGTGGAAATGCACAGCAGCCAAATTCTCTAAACGCATTTTTCTAAATGTGGAGCGAAAAACCGGAGGACCCGGATAAAAATCCACGCAACCACCGGGGGAACAAGCAAACTCCAAATGTACAGGCGCCAGGGTCTGGATCGAACTCACGACCTCCTGTATACCAGGTGAGGTAGTTAACGTCTCACCACCGCGGCACCCCCACCTACGCATCTCAAGCCTTTTCTGCCTGGAAGATGATGGAAGCACTCCTAAAAAGTCTTCATCAGCCTTCAAAGGCACTGCATGTGCCGACAATTGATACATGCAAAATTATGAATGTAATAATTTACAGCCCTTTGTCAATCCACGACTGGATGAAGGCCTCACGTTGTCTGTTTTTGACCACACGTACTTGGTTGTCGAAGGGGGGGGGGTGGGGGTGGGCAGCCCTGGACCGATTCAGATATCGCTTGCCGCTCTTTTTA